GGCAAGATGATACTGGATGTGTGTCAAGTCACCCTTTAAACCACAGCGTTCCTCATGATGATGAAATGTGTGTGTGTGTGTGTTCCTGTACGGCTGTACTAGTGGGGACATGTTTTTGGATTGACACTGTGAATATTGGGACACCTGTCGTTGTGGGGACATTTTATAACTCCACTGACGTTCAAGAGTTAGGATTAGAATTAGGCTCAGATTGGGTAAGAATTAAGATTTGCATATATTTGTAATTGCCAGGGTTAGGTAATTGTGATGTGCCCACATAACACAAAAACCTGTGTGTGTATATGAGAGTTGGCCTTTGACATACTTGCTGTCTTCCTTGACCTAAAGCTGTGAGTCACATTGACAAACACATGTTCCTTTTTCAGGCAAACAGAGACACACACTTGTGTACACCTCAGTAGATTATTGTCCTGCTCTTGAAAAATTTAAACATCATCTCAACCAACATCTTAGACTTGGTTTTGGGAAAGCAGATACCAGTGATATCAAAGTAAATGTAATGATTTTCCACCATTATATTAAGAACATGTTTATTGTCCTGTAGAACCTTCTAGAAATTATACTCCAACTTTTTCTTCCCGACTACTTCTGGACATTTTTGCAAGAAATGATTACTCCTGTTTTCTTGTTTTTTGAAAGAAGTGGCTCAGTCGAGTGTTTCGCCGCCTCCTGTTGATCAATACTGGGTATGTCACATTTGAGGAAGTGAACCTGTTGTTCTTGTGACCATGATTCCTTTGATCCATAGTCTTATGCCATCCTGTCTCTGTTCAGTCTGTTGTTACTAAACGTTGTCCATGACAGTGTCTTCAACAATTACGTCTTTTGTCGTTTGGTCAGTCTTATGAATTGCTTGGGTTTTTTTTGTTTTTGTTAGACAATAGACAGTAGACAATATTTCATTGGATTATTTTTACCTTCCAGGTGAATGTTGTATCGTGAAAGAATTGTGTCCAATCTTGTGATTTTATTTATTTTTTTGATAAATTACATCAAAAGTAGTATTGTAGCCTTTTTATGTAGTACTATAGAAATAAAAGTGCGTATTGGTTGAGATTCAGATTTGAGAGTTTAAAAGTTTTACTTGCAGCAAGGAGTGCAGAACAATGGTTACATTCAGAACTGCACTGAGGAACACCTCAGTGCTCAAAGCTTAAATACAGTTTTTTTGTTCACGCGCCACTTCTGAGCACTGATTGGTAAAGACTGCTCCAAACAAGGATTCTCCACCAATAGGAGCTATGTGCATGTGCTGTAGGTAATCAAGTCAGATAAGACCATGCAGTTCGGATGTTTTTCTCTCTTTGTCTTTTGTTGGTCTTCCGTCGGTCTCCTTATTTGGGCAAAGAAACCAGTTCTGGACGGTTCTGTGTCCTGTCTCTATCTCCAAGTGTAACAGTCGGTACCATTCAGTGCTGTCCATATCATATTGTTATGTAATCCACCAGCATGCACACCTGTCTTCAGCACTTTCCCTTTTAGTACAGCATAATAAAAGCATTCAATAACAGTATAAATTGATATGGAAACATAATACAATGAATATATTGTAAAGATTGAATAAATTTATTTACAACATCTTAACACACCCAGTTGATAAAGATTTTCATTAAAACATTTTTGGGTTTCAATTTTTTTAAAAATATGCTCAAAGCCGTTTGTCAGAATTAAAGAATTCCTGACCTTGAACTTGTGCAGACAGGTTGACGGAGTCTTTAAAATAAGGGTTAGAAATCAAGCAGAATTTTCTGAGAAAGGTGATCCAAGTGAGAACTTACTCTGGCTACACCTAAAAATACTACCGTCTCCCGTCCCTGTCCCCTCCCACCCTTCCCTACGGTCCCAGTGTCCTCCACTGGGAACTAACCCAGGACATTCCACCTGTCCTCAAGAGACCCAGTAGGAGGTGGTGACCCCTGCTGTTGTTTTTGTTTATATTCCCATAGGCAAACCAAGCTACTCTATACCTTTATATCATGATTTGTAATGAACCAGATACTTCTGTTTGTCTAGAACCGATTTTTGTTCACACCCACAGAGAGTCTCCTGCTCGTCCTCACTGTGGTCTTCATCTCATAAATGTCTCAACAACGTGCATCTGAATATTAATTAGCATCATATTTGGTAGATTTGACAACAACATCCCTCAGTGATGTGTGAGCTGCGTTTCAACAGTAGGACTCAAAATTTTTTTGAAGATGTTAACTGTAGGAAAAAAAAGGTGTGATTTAATTCTAATTCAGTTAAAGTCTTGGGTGTTGTATTTGACATGGAAATAATTTTTATTAATTGGTTTTGTTTAGTGTTAAATGCATTTTCTAGTTGGACATGGCATTTGTGATTACCACCTTCCATCCATCTATCTGTTCATCCATCTATCCTCACATCTATCCGTCCATCAATCCATCATTCATCCTTCCATTTATGCATCCATCCATCTGTCTGTCCATCAATCTGTCCACCCATCCATCCATCCATCTATCTGTCTATCCATCTATCTGTCCATCCATCCATCTATTCATCCATCCATTCATTCATCCATCCATTCATTCACTACTTAATCCTCTTCAGAGTTGTGAGGGGGGCCTGGAGACGAGCCCAGCAGTCATCACACATGGGAGGGGTACACCCAGGGCAGTTCACTCATCCAGAGCTACATATAGAAACCACAACCATTCGCAGACACACTGACACCTGAAATCCGTTTAAAGTAAACAACTGTCCAAATACCCAATCTCCACAGTACCTTCCTGAGTACCTGAAGTAAACATTTCATATTCTAGCCCTGTGTCGCTATGACTATTTAAGAGGAAATGCAAAGTGACTGGTTAAAAACTTTAATTATGTGTTTAGTTTTTAACATGTCAATATTTTAACAGTCAGATTTTGATCATATTTCTATTAGTTTACCATCGAGGCATCGGGCGTTCTTTTGTCTCTTTCTGTAAATATTTCCATACTCCATACTCTTCCATTAACTCTGCTCCTTTTTCTCAGTCTTTGTCGACTAGCACAAAGGCGCTGTTATACTTGGGCAACTGCTCACCATGGCAACTGCTCACTGTGGCGACTTGCCTTTGACTGGTAGTTTATTATTAAAAAATCCCGACTCTGACGTAGAAGCCTGACTGTTTGTATCATTGAAAGAAAATATTTGGGCAAATCTGAGGGAAAGTAGATGGAAACTCTTTGGTATTCATCCATCCAAAATTATTTGATCTCAAAGTAGGAAATTGATGGAGTTACAGCTGTTTCTGCAACTGCTTTTAAAAGGGTAGAAATTTATTTTAAAAAAACACATTTTGGATGCATGTGTGTATAAAAATATATACATCATTTATATGTATATATGTGTAATTATATATATGTGTATATATGTATGTATATGTGTATGTATGTATGTATATGTATATATGTATGTATGTATATACGTATATGTACAGTGGTATGAAAAAGTTTGGGCACCCCTGATCATTTTCAAGATTTTCCTCTATGGATCATTGGTTGTTCAGAACAGCAATTTCAATTAAATATATCATATAGCAAACAAACACAGTGATATTTAAGAAGTGAAATGAAGTTTATAGGATTTACAGAAAGTGTGCAATAATTACTTAAACAAAAGTAGGCAGGTGCATAAATTTGGGCACCCTTGTTGTTTTATTGATTTGAATACCTTTAGCACTAATTATTGGAACACAAAATTTGTTTGGTAAGCTCATTGACCCTTGACCTACATACACAGGTGAAGCCAATCATGAG